ATGATCTTTCCCGAGACAAAATTTTAGCCCAACATCGAGTCTTCTCTAAGATCTATTGTGCTCCTTTGATACTACAAATGGGAAGTTATCGCCGTTTTTTCGACTTAAAGATTTAATGTAAAACTAAAATTGAGACTCTGGAGGTCTCATTTATAGCATTAAAAGAAAATTTATTATAATACAAATGGGAACTTATTTCTGTTTTCTCCACTTGAAGACTTAATGTCAAATTGAAAATTTCACCACGAATTTGTACACAAAAATATGTTATATTTCACCGGTCAGTGGATTTTTCTCTGGTCGCTGTTATTTAGAAAAATGTCCTCGTACTTGGTAAATCTTAGCAGAGAATCTACTGGAAATGTTACGCGAGAGCAGTCGAGCTTGCTGATACTGGCAGATGCTTCGAAAATGCTGCGGGAATTCTCGAAGATTTCTCAAAAGATTATTGCTCGATAATCGGTCAGTTGTATTCCGAAATTGCACGTGTATACGTAATTCACAGCGCAATAGTGATTCTAAGAGGTCCCCTCCGGTCGTTTAAACGATATAGCTCGCTAAAGCATTTAACGGCCGTGGCATTGGGGTCAGACGCGACGTATTGTAGTTACCGAGTCGATATTTTAATCTCCGCGAGACTCGGCTACACCCCCGTGACGTCGTCGGATTGTACCGTACTCAAAATAAAACAGATGAGGGAGAATGAGACCGAAGAGGGAGAAAGAGGGAGAAAGAGGGAGAAGGACAGAGTGGAAGAGAGAAAGAGAGAGAGAAAGAAAGAGAGGGAAGACACAGGAAACGTGTAAAGGGTGGAAAACAAGCGGTTGAAATGGAGGAGCAACTGGAAGGGGGTTGTAAAAAGGTGGTGTGAGAGACTCGGTGACCTGCTGAAGGATATCGCGGATAGATAGTAAGATTTATGGCGTGTAAAAAAGAAAAGAGTTCACGAGCGCGAGTGCCGAGGGACTACATTACGAGTAACGCGCAGTGCGCGCGCGAGAGAGAAAACACGGGTTTTCTCGTAAAAATCTAATAATACCGAAACGATGCTGTTCGCGATTTAAACGCGATTTATCTTACTTCGATTCTCACGGGGGCGAGGCTTTTATCCGAAATTACGCGCGAATCGGCACATATCAGCGTGTCTAGTCGATCGCCTCTGAGGTAGCCCTACGTACAGCAAAGTAAAAAGGTGGAACAATTCTCGCACACAGAGCGAAGGGCTCGGACGCGGGAGATAAAAGCGGCGGGAGAGTACGTGTGCTCGAAGCGGAACGTACGGCTCAAAAATCCGCAAAACAACGATTCCCTCCGGTGGAGGGGGTGGGGGCACAAAAGAGAGGGGGGGGGGGCAAACAATGTACTAAAAGCGAATACGGAGCGGCACAGCTGCGAGATAAAGGCAGCGAAAAGAGGAACGAGCGGAGTCACAAACAAATGCGAGCTCGCAAAAACAAATAACGGCAATCGAGTGCATCCGCGAGCGGGCGATACTTGCGTCCACGGCCGAATGGAAAGTGCAAGGGAGCGTCGTGTTGCAAAGATTTGTGCAATAGCTATTTTCATGAACTCGACTCCATTCGTAATCCCTGCTGTCGTCGCGGTCGCGAAAGCGACGGTGAAAAATACACGGACATGTACACCTTTCTGCATACGAACTTTTTTAGACGACGACGAGGAACAGGAACCGCATTTATTTCGGGATCCATGCAATCCCTGGGCACGAATACTGCAAAACGACGAAGTCGAAAGCGAAGTTCAGTCGTCGCCTTGCGCCTCGCGATTGCCGCGAGTTTCGACGCGACATGAATTATCGTAGTAAACGCGAACGCCGACGTTTTTCGCCGAAACTTAGCGAAAGCTACGTGGGTCGAGCTTTCAAGACCGGCGGAAAGCGGGAGAAGTGGAACACACCTCGGGAGAATTTAGCGTCCAGCAGAAGCCGCGCCTGCAGTCCCACGCGAGACTTCACCTTCCGGTAAAAAATGTCGCGGGAATTTCTTAGTTCGCATTAGCATGCTAATGAATGGCTGATCACGTAGCTTCCATCCTCCTCGGTCCTTATCAGACGAACAAACGGACGAATGAGGTAAAGGCAATGATTTATTTCCGCAAAATTCGTTATTTTGTACGCCTGGAGCGGACCGGCGAGAAAAAGTTAACAGGCGCTGCACACCGCCGGGCATCGAGATACGCGAAGCGACACCATAAATCCGTACGGATGTTCCATTCAAACGCATATAATATAGACATATTCTGAGGTATATTATTTTATATCTATAGAATCAACATTTGTTCTACTCTTAGCCGAGCGAGTGAGCGCGCGCTCTCGAGCATCGATTTCCGCTTGTTGTCAAAATGTGAAAAAAATATGTTTGCGTTGGAACCCGGCCCCGGGTAAATCGAAGCTTCCGGTGAACGAAAGAAAAATACGGTGGATTTCGAGAACGAGAGCGAATTTATCGTCGATATGTCTTAAGATGGAAAAACACGGCAAATGTTAAATATCACCACCCGGTGCTGCGGTGTGGCAGCAACGGGCTTCCAACGCCGGTCGCCCGGCTGATCGCGACGGTGGGAACACAGTCAGCGGTCTAAATGATTTACTAATTGCTGTAACGATCGTCCGATTGCAATTTCCCCCGGCCGGTCATTGGCGTATTATTAGGCGAGCGTGACCGTAATGGTCGTTCAGAGTGACGGAAAGGACGCCACGGCGCCGTCCCTTAGTTAGGACGACTGTATTTTCCCGCGACGCGATTTTTCTGGCCCTCTTTTTCTCATTTCCTCGCGCGCAGGTCTCTCTCTCTCTCTCTCTCCCTCTCTTTCTCGACTTCAGATGTTCATAGGAAACGACCGCCACTACGGTGATTTCCAGCGAGGAAATGTGACAAATATCTCCCTGTCACCGCTGTGTGTCGCAGTGCGAAAATACATTCCGTCGTTTCGGCTTGCGTCATCGCGACACGTGTGCACCAACGTGAAGATATCGAGCAGGTAGATTCATAGACCGGTGCGTAGAAGGATTACGAACTCATCGATAACTCCATCGATCTTTGGAACGTGTGAACGCACGCAGATATCATACTCGAGAAATGATATTTTACTTATTTATCTGCGTCTTGGGGAAAAAGGGAAAGTACTCGATATCTAATGATAGGATCGATTGAATTATGTATTTATTAATATCGATATATATCAATTTTCAAACATCGTGTTATGTTATCAAGTTAATATCGAAATAAGTTGGATTGGTGTTATAAGATAAATTTGTTGACATTTCACGTAGTATCGATATACAATTATTAAATAATCATAATCTCAACGTCAATCATACGCTGATCTTCTAACCTTGATGAAAACATTAATAAATAATTAAAATTAATGTAAAAATACCGGCAAAATAGTAGGTCCATCATAATAAATGTGATTTCATCCTTAGTCTTTTTTCATCGTTATCAACCGTAACTATTTTTATATTAATTTTATTTCTGATTATAAATTGTAAATTAAACCGGTATTTTATATATAATTAGACAGGTACTAAATTTAATGTATAATTGATATATATTGATACGACAGTTGCATGTTTCAATACACCTTAAATTCGTTCGTGAATATATCTTAGAACGAATTTAAACAAATACGAAAGTATCCATTTCAGACATAAATGCATCGATCAACCGTATCAAAATCAGTCTCAGTTTCATCACTACCGATGCCTATTTCCTCGATTTCCAGTTGTATGAAGATCTTATCAATTTTCAGTTCACATGAAGATCGAGGTTTGTCGAGTCCGCGGAAATAACGTCGCGGCTCACAAAGTGTAGGATGCCGTGAAACCGCTATTCCTGAGTAATTGCATCCGCAAGGGAGCATTGCGATCGGTAGTGTTTCCATGTTACGCGTAAGCCTCTTTGACCATCTACAAAGGGACTCGCGGTTCGGCGAGTATAGGGCTAAGCACGCTGAGAACATTGCAAATAGCCTCGGCAACGCAGTATTTGCAATAAGTTGTTAATACGACCGCAATGAATCAGATGAGACGCGCCGGCATCATGCGTAATCGTGGATGCCGCCATCTCTCACGTGAAATGTCAAAGCGCTCCCTCCGCGATATAAGGTGACGCGAAAACGAAGAATCTCGCGAACGGACCCTCTTTCGTGCTTGACGAAGCTCTCGACGATGCTCTTTTCGCATTGCGTCGGTATGCCCGTCAGAACATCGCTACCGGGATGTCGGTTAACACAAGATGTAGCGTCGCTACCGGACGCAATTGTTTCGAGGAGCGGAGTTCCTTGGAGAAGCATCAATCCCGATTCCATTTCGAAGTGGATCCGGGCGATTCGGATTGCGCCCGCCCGCCACGATTTCGTACAAATCGCGCCGCGTCGGAATAGACCAAACGTGCGCGATAAATAATAGGGGAGGCATGATTGTTACCACGCCAGCGGCCTTTCCGTCTTCTTCTCCTACCCTCTCTCTCTCTCTCTCTCTCTCTCTCTCTCGGTTTTCGGTTTCCTTCGCTCCGGAAAAGTCGACGTCGCGCCTGTCAGAAGCGCTCGTGCTTACTAATGAGCGGAAATAAAGGTGGACGAGCGAGAGATGTCCTTCGTAAACGGCATCCGGAGCGAGCGAGGGAGAGACCTGAAGGGAGAGATATTTGTCGCGAAAAAATAATATTTACCTCCTGCCGGGAAAGCCGGCTATACAATTGGGAATTCGCGATGGTACGATTTGATAATAAACACGACGTGAGGAGACAACGATTTCTTTCGATGTACACACGCATGTATCGCCGCGATCCTTTGCATATGCAATGCGTTTCAAAGGGATTGCTGATAAAAATTCAACGGTACGACAACTCTGGGGATTGTTGTTTTAGAAGTGTAATATACAAGTATTTCGCGCGATACACGCGCTTTGCGAATGAATGCGAAGCATAGTTTGCGGAGTCGTGTGGATTTAATCGGTTCTCTGTTTACTTGTTGCACAACAGGTATTCGACAAACATAATCGTGGATACATCACCGCGTCGGATCTGAGGGCGGTACTGCAATGCCTGGGCGAAGATCTGTCCGAGGAGGAAAGTAAGTATTGTGTAATTTCTCTAAAAAATTTCGCAATCAGAGTGTTTTCATTGAGAAACCCAACATAGTTACTAGTGGTCATAATTATAAGCATAGTACTGCTAATTAGTAAAGTTTCACTGCAAAAGTCTGTTAATAGCAGCGACTGTTTCCATCAGGGAAATTTAATTAGAGAGAGGAAGTAGAAAGAATGTGATTAAGATAATAAAAAAGGAGGTGATAAATTATATTCTTTTTCACTGTTTCTGTACACAAATTTCTTTGGATTTAATACAATTTCTTTAATCGAAATAAATTTGTCTTTTAGAATATAATAAACAAACGAATTTTAGTTCAACAAACGAATATTTGATTAAGCAAACAGGATTGTTTAATTTCTTAAATAATAAATTTCTTTGCGTCAAATGTTATATTTCTTTTGTATTTTCATTCAAGCATTACAATGGTTGTCATAAGCAATAAATGATTTGAAAGAACTAACACTACATAGTGTTGTTTTTCTAACATATGTTAGAAAAATATTAAAAAACTTCTGTCGTTTTAATGAAGAACAACATTTAACACGTTGAGTGCCGCGCAAATTTCACGTGACTCTATTCATGCCGTGTAAGCCATCGATAGCTTTCATCACTGCATTTATTATAAGAAATATATATATATATATGTACGTTTTATAATATTTACGAGACTACAAAAACATTATTATGAAGAGGAAGAGATAACGTAAAATATATGCGCTATGCAGCCTGAATGAAAAATTCAACGCAGACCACCAATGGCTTATGCAGCACTCAATGTGTTAATATATAATGAAATAAATTTATTTTTTATTGAAAACCAAATATTATTTTCTCTATTACTATTACTGTTTGTACCTTCAAACGATATAGTTTACTCTAGTGAAACAACATTTTTACTGAAACAAATTGATATTTAATATTAAATGATATTGTTTATATTTAACAAACCCAAGTCAAGCAAACACATATACTAAATCCAAAAAAATCTTTGTGTACAGAAACAGTGAAGAAAGATATAATTCATTACTTCTTTTTTATTATCTTAATCATATTCTTAAGATGTTATCAATAATTTTACCTGAGATATTCTTAATCATATTTAATAAATTTCATTTGTATCGTACATGAAGAAAATATTGTAGTAAAAATTACTACAAAAATTTGTAATTCTAGAACATATCGAAATTATCGATTAATTATCAAAATTAAATTATTATCAAAATTACTATGTGTTGCAATCTTTAATAACGTGTATTCATGTATTCACATCACTAAAGATTACACACATAGTAATTTCGATAATAATTCCGATATATTCCAGCGTTATAAATTTTTTTTAGTAATTCTTACTACAAAATATTTTCTACGTATATTTGAAAGACACTTTTATCCTGATGGAACACGAACTCCTCTGGCTCTTGAGTCTGCTATCATACAAACTATATCAAATACATATGATTAAATGCACATACATATATGTATGCATATTCCTGCTAAAAGACGCGAACAGCGATTTGTAGCGAATTTTTCACTGGCCAGAATCAGTGAAGTATTGGACAAAAGAGCTAAGTGGAAGTGTTTCCACCAAAAATTAGTGAATACTCACTAATTATCGATGAAATACTGTTTTACCGACTCAATTAGTGATATTTTCACTGATTCGACTTAATAGAGTAGGCATCGTAGCGCGAAATAATCGCGCCAGCACCGAGGGTGCTTTCACGAGGTCGGCAAACGCAGCCACCGATGGTCTCATCGCGATAGGCGCGATACGTCTGGGTATAGCTCGCGCCGATATTCTCCTCACTCTCTCGAGATGCTTTCGATAAGCGAAAACTTTGCCAATAAAAGCCGAAGTAAGCCGTTTCCGTCTAAATCGACACATCTAAGTATGCGGTTGATTTTTGGCGCAACGTCTCGGTGATAACGCGCGTCTGCTTTAACGACCGGCATCCGATATTACGGAAATAATTGTGATTGTATTCGCGCGAAAGTCGTATAAATCTGCAAGTAATATCCTCCCGTAACAATTCGCCGTTAACTGATAAAGCGTCATCGAAAGATCAAAATCGTCGCGTCCGTTTTGTATTAATTCGTCCTAGTCGACGCGGCAGTCAATCGATTTTCCGATTGCGTCACATTAAGCGTGACATCTCATCGCGCACGGGGAATATTTTAATTCTCCCTTCTCTTTGCTCGTCCCTCTCGTCTCTCCATTTTCTTTCGAGTTATCGTTATTCTTCGTCCCGAAATTATTTGTACACTCAGCCCTTGTTATTTCACGAGATGGCGAAATCCGAATTCCCTAATTCGGCTTGTTGACACGCGCTCCTCGAAAATCCAGACTGCCATGTCCGTCCAGCCGCCCTCGCAACCCAGGTTGCTTTACCAAAGAGTTCGCTCCCTACAGAAGGAAAACGTCGGCTTTCCGCTCGCATTCATGATAACAATCGTGTGTTTGCACGAACGAAACGAGACGGACGGGCGGACGGACGGACGCCTCGGCTGGATCGTTCGCGCAATCATAAGCGTGCCGTCATGCGAGACGACAAATCTACCAGAATATCGATTGTTCTGCGGCTGTGGCCGTGGAATTACGTGGACCATCTCGAAGACATGTTTCCAATTAACCGCCGGCAAATTGACGATTTCGATCAATTGCGCGCGAGTACAGCGCGACTGAAAGAGATATTCGCGATGCAACGTATATACATACGTTAGAACATGTAATATATAACTGAAAATATCCGCGATAAAGTGAACTATTATATCGAATTTTACAAAATAACAACGGGACCTTTTCAAGAATATCAACGATATTTTCAGCTGTTGCGCGGGCGCAACAGGGGCGCAAACGTTTTGCTCCTTTCTCACTTTCCTATATTCACGTCACGCAATTATCGTCGCGTATCAACATAGCGCAGTTTCCCCCTGAAGCACACTGCCAGTACGCCACTCATTAACATAAGTCCGCGAGCAGTTGCGAATCGTGACACGTTCCCTCTCAAATATATCGGGCATTAATCGCCATACGTGATAGTCGTGTTGATTGAACGTCACCTCGCAAATTTGCGACTTGCCGATGTATCTCCGCGCCCATCTGGCGTCTATCTCGCGTTGTCGTTACCGCGGACATCGACGGCACCGTGCTTTCCCATTTGCCGTTTGAAGAATCGACGCTTCGGACTCGGGACAGACGCGAACGAACATCTGGGAATTGTGTTCGGGGAGCAGCGCGCGAAGAAGCTCGCGTAATTTCACGCGCACATCTTTCGGCGGGCGTGAACCTTCCGAAGGATCTTAATTATTTTTTCGCCACGCAGTCGCGATAAAGTGTCCGTAAAGAAGCAAACGTAAAAAGCAGACATTAAAAAAAATAATTGACTCTCTATAAAGAAATGCAGTTTGCCTTCGTACCATGGTAATTACGTTCAGTTAATCGTGCCTCCGTAAAAACGAGGCGAGCGAGAAATGAGTGGGAAGACGAGGAAAAGGGCGATCTACGTCACGATTAATTTAAAACGATGACTTTGTTGTTGTCGAGTCGCGACGAACGTCGACAGAAGCTGACGATACGCGCGAATCATGACAAGTTCAACGATTGATTATGTTTCAATTCGGCGATGAAGCCGAAAATGAAAGAAACAAGCGATTTTCGATGCTGAAATGTCGGCAGAAAGAGAGAGAAAGAGAGGGAGAGAGAATGTGTTTATTGCTTTAACAAGTTCTATTTATATCACTCGATATTCCGATTTGACAATTTCGCACGACCGGACGATCGGCGCGAGTTCCTTGATTGACCGTAATCAATTTAGGCTAAATCGCGCGAAATTCATCGAACAATCGGTGGAATTGGCGGGATTGCAGTTTATGAACTGCGTTACGACACGCTGTAATTCATTACGTTACGTATCACCGTTAAATAATTACATCGTGGCCCTCGCGTAAACGATAAATCGCGATCCGTCAACGACAAAATGAAAAGAAAGAAAGAGAGGGAGAGAAAGCATTATTTATTTAGTATTCTGGGATAGGTTCTCCACAAATGTATAGGACAGTTGCAAAGAAAAAAATAAGACGAAGAAGAGTAAGAAAAATGTGATAATAAGAAATATAACACAGAAGAAAGAGAGAGAGCGAGAGAGAGAGAGAGAGAGAGAGAAGTGAAAAACCAAAAATGAAAATGAAAAATGAAAATAGAATATGATGAGAGAAAGAAGGATGTGTAAGATAAAGCATATATCACGCATGTCCAACATATTTAAAGATATATTGAAAGAGAATCAACAATTATTACAACCGCATAGGTTCCGTTAATGAGATATTCATAGAATGAATCCTTAAAAGATTCAAGGGAATTTTGAAAAGAAGCACCTGAAAAATAAATTCTTTATGAAGTATATAAGGGCATTGTTAACAGATAATATTGTGAAGCATCCTATAAGAGAGAGAGAAGAGGAGAAGGTGAGGAAAGGAAGAGAGAAAACGCTACGAAGGATTGTTAATGGAAAGGATGAAATTTCCACGAATTATAGTAAAGATTAATTTTGGAGATTTCGAGGAGGCATCTCGTGAGAAGTCCTCGGATGCCTGCGTTGTGCCGAGACGGTCCGTTAATGCCGACCGCTGCGACGTCGGTACGCGCCGCCTTCATTCCTTTCGGCGGCGATAAATTCTGAGTGGAAATAATGCGGGTATATCGGCAATATCTATAAGGTGCATGATGCGAACGTGCAATTTGTTGTGTAGTCGCCTGCGTCGTTCTCCTCCGGCGAGACGCGTGATACGAATTAATCTCGCCGCGGAATGCGCGTGGCAAGGATATATATTTACTGAATTACTGCGCCGGTATATAATTTGGTTTTTCGTGGTAGGAATAATTTCACCGTTATAAATTCGCGTCGGATTCGACGCGCGCATTTTTAATAGCGCCCGGNCCCCCCCCCGTTTTACGTCGTCCTTCTCGATGTAATCGTCCAGCTAAAATCGTCGACGCCATGGGAATCCGCGAAGATATCATCGTGAGTGCTTTCGGACTAGATTACCTTCGATGTTCTCGATCACATTTCGTGACTACGGCGACTGTCGTTTAGCGATTTAATAATTACGAAATAAAGAAATAGTCCTCGGCATAAACTGTTGTCTTGTTTTGCTTTCAGTCGAGGATATGATTAAGGAAGTGGACGTGGACGGGGACGGCCGGATTGATTTCTACGGTAAGATTCCTCTTGTTTCTCGTTTAGACCGCGAGCACGATCTCGTAAAAATCGGACAGCTGCGAAATGTAAGCAGCAGTAAAAAGGAAATTTCAGTTTCCACGCTGAAGAGTAATCCATCCTCGCGATGGATCATCCTCGATAGAGCCGTACTTAAAAGGGAGTAAAGGAACGTAATTCTCAAGAGAAAGATGAAAGGGTAAAAATTGTGAAAGCTAATTTCGAAAGTTTCATCCGTTTTTTCCTTTTTTTTTTCCTTTTTGGTTAACATGTGACTCATCAATATTCGAGCAGTTCGATTTTCGTCAAGATAAAAGACGATTGAGAAATTATTGGAAAGGAAATCGCCTCCTGTTCGATATCGCTTGAATCATCCTTGTTTCAGAGTTCGTTCATGCCCTCGGCGAGCCGGGGATCGACGAGGACGAAGAGGATGACGAAGAGGATCTGCAATCTCCGCTGTTCTAAGATCACGTCTATTCTCTCATCTCTTTGTTAGATAAGCCCGATCCGATACGGGCAACAAGATGCGCAATCGCATTTCCACGAAGTATTCTTCTTCTCCTCGCGTTTGCAATTCGAATCGCGCGCGATCGCGCCCGGCAGGCAGGACGAGGCTCGTCCCTTTAAATTTCGAGGGCTCGCCTGCCTTTCATTAGCTCTCTCGCTCTTCTCAAGTTTCGAATCGATTTCAATCGCTGGAACGCGAGCGTCCCGCTAAGCGTATCGCGCGAATAGATGAAAGAAAAAAAAAATCTGCACCGAGCTACACACTACTCCCTTGCGAACGATCGTGAGTGCAGCACGAATTTGCATTCTTGATGTACCGCTAAACGAACCGAGGAATCGTCCCGATCGGAGGATTCCCGACAAGTCGGTCCTGGATCGATGGGCACGTGGAGACTTGATTGACGGTCACCAGGCCGCCGCTGAGAGAGGAACACGGCGACGTAGCTCGAAAAATTCTTCGGTCCCCGCGAATTCGGAGAGACCGAAAAATCTCGAGTTTGTCACGCGAGAAAGCGAAATATCTGAGATAATTTTGAAAGCAAAAAATCGAAGGAACATTCGGAGTCAACGCGACGCGAACGGGAATATACGCGGAATGGGAGAGAGGCCGGGAGCGTCGTTTCTCCTGGCTCTTAACGAGTTCGCGCGATAAGCGCCGCGGATAATTACGCGGGAACGGTCGGTAAAACCGGGCTCCGTGAAATTTCGCCGCGCTGGACATCGAGGGGGAGGCGATAAGCGTTTCTGGCAGCGCGCCGCGCTAAAACGGCGGATAAATCATCAGCGGTCGGCCATGGTGACTCTCTCTCACACACACGCATACACACACACACACACCAGTTTTATTCTCGGACGGAGGAAGCTCGCGCGAACACGGGTGGACGCGCGAGACGCGCGATATATCTCCCACGCAGATTCCACGAGCGTTAAGGCGAGCGCGAGATGTTAATCTAGTTGAGGTAAATTATTCATTTCGCACTATTTCCGATCCTATCGCTTACACGTGATATCAGAGGTGCGCGCGCGCACCCGGCGCGCGTTATCTCGCCCGATTGGCTCTATCTATTTCCGAGTCTCTCTCTCCGCAACGGGCGGACTTTAAGATATGTAAGATCGACTAGATCGTAATGAATTCCGTCTCGTAAGTATGTGGACTTTTTCTCGAATTTACTCTCGTCTCTAACACACTAGAACGTTATACTCTATCCAGAAAGGGAGGAGGAGAAGCAAGAGGGGAAAAAGAAGGAGAAGTAATCTTAAGAAGACGGACAAAGAAACGCACTGCACATACACACACATATACACACACACATATGCATACACATATATACATACACACACTTCAACGGATCATGCCGATGCGTGCGTCGCGCGACGGCGCGATCGCCGAGCGGGGAAAACGGGAATAAAAAGTAGCACGACACCGGAAGATCGTTCGTCGCTCGCTTCGACGATCCGCGCTTTTATTAGACGTACACACACCTATCGAATCGACGGGCCCCTCTCGGCACGGTCTCGCCCGAAGTACACTTGGCGAGCGAGTGCGAAGTCCTACGTCGATCTTCGCTCGCTTTGCTCTCCTCGGGCCTTGTATTACGTACCTTAAACGACTATATCACTGTTACGCCAATAACAAAAGCCGCACGCTGTTTCAAATATTTTAAAGGATTTAATAAATCGCTAAAAAATACCCCCGTCCTGCTTAATCCCTTTCTCTGTCTCTCTTTCTTCCTTTCTCTCTCTCTCTCTCTCTACGTCTTCTGAAATAATATCTGCTTTATCAAGCGGGCCACCCATCGAGAAGTGCGCGATAATTCCCGTAGCAGAGAACACTCGCTATTCGATGTCGAACAAGTCAACTTTGGTTTTTTACAGAGGTATAAAAAAAACCACCACAAGCTCTGGTATATTTTTTTTCTTAAACGTTCATTTTTATTAGCGATAAATAAACTTACATATCTTTACAGTAACAATGTCCCTTTCGTAACTCTCGGAAAATATGATAATATCTATTCGCAAAGATTCGTATAGATCAAGACTTCCTTCTTGCTTTATCATTTGGTTGTTAATTCCAGCTTTTTATGTGCTCGGCTAACGAACGAACGAACGAACGAACGAACGAACGAACGAACGAACGAACGAACGAACGAACGAACGAACGAACGAACGAACGGACGAACGAACGGACGAACGAACGGACGAACGAACGGACGAACGAACGGACGAACGAACGGACGAACGGACGAACGAACGAACGAATGAACGAACGAATGAACGAACGAACATTTTTTTAAAAAACTCAGTACGACACGAACGGTACGTACGTATCCTTATTATAAGATCATCGTCTACGTTGCGTACGATTCTTTTTCTTTTTTTTTCCATGCGATCTACGTACAAGTCTTAACGTTACTTAATCTTAACGATTAGCGAGCGTACAACAGCCGAACATGAGAGAAGAGGTGAACAACATAAGACCACTGCTATTTAAGTATCATCGTAATCGACATAGCGATCCGTGCCTATCGGCTTACGGACTATTTTTTTTCCCCCCCTCTATCATCGGACGTCCATTCGCGAAATTCTCGACTTTTGTTTTCCCTTGGAGCGTCCCCCTCAAGTTTCTTTACGCCATCCGGCTCGGTTCTCTCGACTGGCGTTCACATGGTCCAATTGTCCGCGTTCCCTCCCCAACGTGGTAACGTCTATTATCCGTTATCTCTCGGCGTTTCATTACGTCGGTTCTTACGATATAATCTGCGTAGGAATTCCGTCTCTCTATCTGTCCCCCCCTCTCCCTATATAGCATTACGCGTTTCATTATATGAGCGAAGCCCCGACGTTGCGTCATTACCAATTAGCGATGATCCGTATCCGATCTAATTTGTTTCCGCTCTCGTCATACCCGACGGAGACGGAGCTACGATTTGGAAGAGGATCGCGAGTCCTTCACTCGAGAGAAGTATTAACTCGATAACATGGATGCAATCGGAGCTCGGGTCGTCGATACGTCACGTGGGTAAACTCGCTACATCCTCGAAGTGGATGCAAAATTTAGTTCAATCTTCTGCAGCGAGGATTTAGCGTGCTACCCCTGAGAGTCGATCGATGCGCGCTCAATCGACCCACTTCCCGACGATCTATCACGTTATTACGAGCTTAAGTAAACCGCCGATGCGACCTGGCTCTCCTATCTACCGACTCGTCCATCATCCGTCGTCGTCGACGTCCTTGTAATTTTCTTGCATCCAGACTAATTTATCGACCGCGGCGCGAATCAAGCCGCGACGCGTGGCGAATAAACGACGTCACGATGGAAAGGGGAGCGCGTTTTCTCTCGCGCTCGTCGTCACGTTATCGGCGATGCCAGTCGAGAGGAAAGAACCTTCGTTTTGTAGCTTGAAACGCACGTCGGAGACCACCGTTCGAACGTTTGTCCGACGGATACGAAGAGCTCGTCTCTCCTCTAGCGGAGTTTTATATATACCGGGTTTTATGTGTCGTGCAAGCCTCTCTCGTATTTATCGCACCGATAAAGCGGAAAACGCTATTCTTCGGGCGTCGTTTAGTCAATTTTCCCGTTTCTTCTTTTTCTTCATCCTCGAGACGTCCCGACGGATTCTCGAGAAGACGGCCCTCTCGCGTTACTTGGAAATATCCGGCCGGTCTCCGACGCGCGCTTTGTTCGCAAGAAGCGTATGTATCCGGCATGCCTCGGTTCTTTACGCGTTGTGTGCGTGCGCGAGTGCTTCTCTGCGAGGTAGAAGTTCATGCGGGCGGGTTGCGACGGTCGTCGAAATCTCCGCCTCTCTCGATGGTCCTTTCGCGTCGTCGAAACGGGGCTCGACCGATCGGGTTCTACGATCAGACAGACGGGCTATCGCGCGCAGAATGTCGTGACGATGTCGCGTCATCGCTCCAACTCATCGAGGCTGGTGAGTCCCCGACCGGCTCAAGTCCGAAGGACGCATTTTCCTGACCGCAACAAAATGAGCCCGTCGTCGAGCCGTCGGGGAGGCAGCGTTGTTGTTAGGGCACGCCGTTAGAAAAAGGATTCGTTCGTCGAGCCGCGGCTTAGATATCGCTTAGAAAAACTCGCGTTCTCCGACGATCGCGATTCGCGACCTTAATCGTTAGAGTTATCAAATAAAAAATATGTATATGCGTAAAAAAGAGTATACTTGACGTATCGCCGCGGCTGGACCTCTCGTCGTCGGGGGAGCGGTCGAGGTCTCGACCCCCCGGTCGCGCGACTCTCCTCATCTCCCCCCCCCNCCGCATGACTCTTCTTCTCTTTTGTGGAGTATATGTAACACATAATCTGGTTTCGGTATTAAGCAGCTATCGCTTATCGCGTCTCTGAAGCGTTATCGCGAGCCTTAATCGTATACGCGCTCGCTGTCGCTCTCGCGGACGTGCATGTATGACGCGCGATGACAATGCGACGCGCACCGTTGTGCGGCTCGTCGATCAATCGGGACGACCATTGTGTCGTATCGCTGGCCGCAGCAGCCGCAGTCTCACGGCTGCCGATACGCCCGGCAATCCGCGAACAAGCGTTCTTACCTCGTCTCGTAAACACGACAAACCTTATGCTTACATTGTCCTTAGATTATCGTCGCTTATTAAGTAAGTAAGCGTCCTGCCGGCCGCGTCTTTGTCTTTTGCATCCGCAGTGATTCCTCGGCGCAACGTCGGCGACGAACTACAGAGAGCGACTTCCCCGTTCGAAATCCCGGTCGTTAACTCGCCTCGATAGTCCTTCCGCTCCTCTTCCTCCTCGGCTCTCCTCCACCCGATTGTCCGCCGCGTTTGCTTCCGACCGTTCTTACGAGGGAAGAAACGACCCCCCTTCGGCCGAGATCGTCTCCCACGAGAAACTCGCGACGGCTCCCATTCCGCACAGCAGTATTCAGATTCCGTGTCGGAAAACGGCTTCGTCTTTTCCGAAAAATCCTATTCCCGAAGAAGTGCACACACGAGTAACCTTTCAGAAACGCAAGCGACTCCATGTGACGTGCTATGCGACGGTATGCAGATATTCTCAGTGACAAGTGCCTCAGTCATCGAAGTCAGAGTCCCTCTATGTAGGAAAAAGAAGAGAAGTGAGAAAGAGAGAGAAGTCCCATCGTCGAAGGTCGCGCGTTTCGAACGCGCGCCGCTCAATTGCCGTGCTCGGCGCGCGAGCGTTGATCGTTGACCTTGGCGGCGGCGACCGCAGCCGCGAAGCGCAGCCGTCTCCTTCTGACGAGGGCGAACGTCGACGTCGGGCATCTGCGACGGAGACGCGAGGATGAGACCGCGGGGCGATCGTGGTCCCATCTCGCGGTCGGCCCTCCTCAGAGCACAGGCTCCTCGTCCGTCTCGTCGTTCTCGTCGGTTTGCTGGGTCGACGACGACGTGGTCGCGAGAGCGTTCGTCTTGGTCCTCCGATGTCGCTTCTGCTGGTTGCCGCTGGCGGCGACGGCGGCGGTGCTGCCGCCGCTGCTACCGTTACCGCCGCTTACGCTGCCGCTGCTGGTGCTGCTGCAGGTGCTGCTCAAACTGCTGCTGGTGCTGCTCGGACTGTTGGCGATGTTGCCGAAGTCGAAGGCGGTGATCTGACCGTGAGCGGTGATCAGAGGACGCAGGGCGGTGCGCACGGACCAGTGCAGTCGAGGATACGCGCGTTCCTGTTGCTGCATCAGCTCCTTCCTCTTGTTTTGTTTCTACAGTGCGAGAGGAAGAGGATTTATTTATTTATTTATTTATTTCTTTACAGGATTAGTGTGTTTTGGTATACATGAGGAGGGAAACCCACGCAGGAAGAAAGATCTAATTCCTTTGGATCTAATACAATTTCTTTCATTGTGCCGAATGTGTCTTTTAAAATGGAGCAAACAGAGTAATGTTTGGTTCGACAAACAGAATTGCTTGGTTTCTCAAATCATCAATATCGCTCAAACAATAAATATCTTCGTGCAAATAATATATTTCTTTTTGTATTTTCATCCAGACACACACATATTACAATGGTTGGTTGTAAACAATAAGCCATTTAAAAGAAATAACTCTATGTTAGAAAAATATGAACTTCCTTGTTTCGGTAGGACAATATTTAATATAGTAAGGAAATAAGTTTTTGTATTGAAAACGAAATATTATCTTTCCCCCAAATACTGTTTCTTTTTTATCAAACAATATGGTCTAATGAAACAACATTTTCATTTAAACAAAATGATATTTGATATTAAATTACGTAGTTTATATTAAACAAACTCCAATCAAACAAACACGTATATTAAATCCAAAGAAACCTTTTCCTTTGTATTATTAAGTTCAGAGAATAATATGCAAAAAAATAAATAAATATTTTAAGGCTCCTGCAGTCCTGCTGCAGTCCTCTTATTTGATAACGTCACGTCAGAAACGTGAAGATGACACTCGCAATAGATTCAACACATTTGTAAAATATTCTGAAAACCTTTTTGCTCTGACAATCAATAAATAACCGTAAAATTAACATAATATGCAATCTTCCACTTTTGCCTGTCATTCCTTATTTATAATTTGTCATATTAATTTTATGACTGTCACGGCTATCTATCGATTATTAAAGCAGAGGGAAAGTTTTCGAAATATTTCACACATGTGTCACAATCAACCATAAACGTCATTTTATGGACGTATTCTTTCATTCCAATGTATTCCGCAAGAGTTTTCTGCATACGTTTCCTCGCTCCTACTAACGTCATTAATCAAGATAGCTGCGGTGAGGAAACAGGAGTCTTAACGAATAAATTATTCTAAGTCTAAACGAGTCTAAACGAATAAATTAAAGCGATCTTCAGATGCTATAAACGAAAGAACACGTATTAGACTATGCTTGAAAGCATCCGCTGAATTATAAAATAAGTCAACGTTCTCGGAATATTTGTTAGATAAAATAGAAATTCAATTAATACAGAATCGCTACGAGTACTTTTACTTTACCGTATAGAAACGAATCTGAAGCGTAGTTTGCAACGGGCAGCACGATTATATTTCATAAGAAGTCTGCAACGAGTCAGTAGAAGTATATTTCATAAAAAGTAAGAATAAGAAATTGATGAATCATATTCGAATGTAAGGAGAATAATCGTCTATGATTGGTTAATTTCTTACTTCTTATAAACATACCCCTACTGCCCGTCGTAAGCCACGTTTGATGAGACGCGCGTCTCACGCGTGCTTTACCTCGGACGGAAGCGGCGACCGCGATTCCTGCGAGACTCTGAGTTTCTTGCTCTCGGCGAACTGCTTCAGCGCCTTTTCCCGCACGTAGATGAACGGTCTGACGACCCTGAGATCCTCCCGGCGTATGTAGTAGTGCGCCTTCATGGTCTTCAGCACGCCGCCGTGGAATACCGAGACGAGGAAACTCTCCGTAAGGTCGTCCAAGTGTTGACCGAGCGCCAACACGTTGTAGCCGTTCCGTTTCGCCAAGGAGTACAGCTGCGTCCTGACCGACCTGTCGCAGAAGCTGCACGCTCCGCTGGCGTCCAACAGATTGTTCCCGACGCTGGCGCTGCTCGTCACTTGCTCCTCGTAAAAGTACGGCACGTCCAAGGTTTTCAGGTAGCTCATCAGCTCCAACGGATCGGCACCGCCCGCCTCGACCGTCGCCGCGCCGATCTCAAAGTCGATCCCCTTCGACCTGGCGTAGAATCTGTACTGATGCAGCGTGTGCAGCAGAGAGAGCGAGTCTTTGCCGCTCGCCGACAGGCATACCATCACCCTATCGTTGTCGCGAATCATGTCGAATTCCTGCATAGCCTCCACCGACGGCTTCCAGATGTTCTTCGGCGGGCAATGCCACTGAGACCGCGGAAACTCGAGCCTAGAATCACCGTCCTCGGACTTGTCCTCCTTACCGTCGCCCTCCTCCTCCCGCAGATCACTCGTGCACTCCTCGTCCTCCGACAGATTGTCGTTCTGACGCGCCTGCTGCTTACCGCCGTTCTTATTCGACAGACTCGCCATCGACGGCGTCCGCGGCTTCCTGCCGTGGCTGTTAGCTGAGTTGGACTCCGCGCTACTGCTACGCTTCAAGTCCAACGAGTCGATCGACTTGTCGCTCTCGTGGAAGGACAGGTTGATGCCGCTGTCTTGCGAGCTGACCGAGTTCACGGCCGAGTAGATCTTCGGCAAGACCTTGCGAGCGTCGCCGATGTCGAGGCCACCGCGACCTTCCTGCGAGTCGTCGTCCACGTAGTCGTCCACGTCGTTCTCCACTTCCTCGTCCTCGGTCTTGGAGCGACCCCGAACCACTTGCTCGCTCTCGGACGGCTTCATCACGTAGATCACCGTCTCGTCCGACGAGCACTCGCTCGACATCTTGCTCTCCTGCTGCGACAACTCGCCGACCTTGCTGGTGATCTCTATCGGACCGCTCTTCCTCGCGCTCGAGAAACGCGGGGACGTCGAAGGAAGCACGATCCTACTCCGGTCGGGTGAGCCGCAGCCGTTCGAGGAGACGTCCGACGTGGAGGCGTCCGGTGAGTACCTGTGAAGCCCGTCAACCGCGTTCACCATGCACCTGTGGACAAACGTTCAGAGGGTTGGATACAATTTCACGCGTGTGAATTCACTGCGATCATTTATTTCATAAGTGACCTCTCCGATTTCCCTCACGTTGGTCTCGTAATATTTATCTTGCATTCGTTCGAGGATATTCGGGTTGAAATTTTTGTCCTACATTAAGTCTTCAAAGTAGCACATTGAGTATTATTATTATTATTATCCTCTGATGTTACAAATGAGAAGTTATTGCCGTTTTCTAAGTTTGAGGACTTAATGCAGAGCTAACTAGACTTAATATAGAATTAAAATTCCGAGTCGGGTAATCAGTTTACATATCTATGCGGAGAAAACAGTTCCGTCGGTGTAACAGAATATTTTCATTGCCTGCAGCCTTATTCCGCAACTTTTAATGGTAATGATAATGTCATTATCGCTGCGTTGTTAATGTTCAGTTTTTCTAACATATGTCATACCTGCGCAACAACAATATAACGATAACGACATTGTCATTAAAAGTTAGAAAACCGGTTTACCGTCGCTCTATTTTGTAACTTTTAACAACAATGTCGTGACCATTACGTATGTCGATGCTTAGCTTTTCCAACATACCTTTTCCGTCATACTTACGCAATGACAACGTAACAGTAACGACACTGTCTTGAAAAGTTACGGAAGAGATCTACTGGAAATTAGACGAAATCTCAGTTGCAAGAACAAAAAGATCCCTATAGGAAGTTTCTGCTAAGTCACTTGCTCTCAATTGTCCCAACCGAGTTTTGACGCAACTAAATGCTCATGCAAATATGCTCAATCACGGTAGCAGAGATATTATTTCTCGTCACCGAGTTTTTATCTGATCATCCCTATTGAGTTACAGTAATTGAATTTTTTTCCCGTACATTTGCAACAGCGATACGATTTTTACTATCAATTCCAAAATTCATCAACTCTCCGACGCAGGCGTACTAATTGAAAATATTTTTCATTGCATATTATCAGGCACCGGAAAAAGTTCGTGCGGTTTCCCCTTCTTAGCAATGAATTGAAGTCGGATTTCATTCAGTAATTCGCACGTGTAATGTGTATGAAGTTGGTATCAGCAGAACGTTTTATTTATGTCATCGGTATACACGATGTGCAGCTTTCAATAGTTTCGACATTCCGTTGTTTACGTGAGGTTGAAGATGGATGGCGAAGAGTTAAAAACTCGTGCTTCCTTGCTTGATCAGTTTAAACTTGGAAATACAACAGCAAATGCAGCGACACGCATTTGTAGCGTGTGTGGTGAAGGCAGTGTTAGCGAAAGGACAGCGCAAAAATGGCTTAAGCGGTTTAAGGATTGTGAATCGCCAGAAGATGAGCCGTATTCGGCATGTCCATCCGTCATCGAAGATGATGAACTGCGTGGATATGTGCGTTCAAACCCACAAAAAAGGTGTACGAACGTGGAAAAGGGTCATCGAAGTCAATGGTGACTGCTTCGTCAAATAAAACGATTTTTTTTCAAAATTCCGAGTGTGCCAACTTTGACCTAAGAATCCGCACGAACTTTCCTCGGTACCTAATATGTATTGACGAAATGTCGAAATATATACCTTATCTCGGATTTCACTTCGCTCGCCATTTCCTTGGAGAATTCCATCAGGTACTCTGCGATGTCGCTGGCGGTGAAGGAATCGTGCCTCATCTGTTTATCCTCCGTGTACGTCTGATTGATCGCGCTGTGCGCTCGCGAGTGATGCTGCGGCGTGCTCTCGGACGTGTTCGTCTCCGACAGGGCGTCGTCGACTTTGGAGATGACCTCGCGTATCTCCGACTTGATCTCCGTCGCCAGCTCCTTCGTCACCTCCTTCACGTACGCGCTGAGATCGTCCTCGGATCTCTGGCCGGCGTTCGTCGCAATGGGCGAGGATCTCCCGCCGCCCACCAGCCGCTCGGTGTAATCACTGGTCGAGGAGTACGAAGACGGCGGTGATGCCGGATTGTGACAGTTCAGAGAAGAAATCGAGTGACTCGGGCTGGCGGCCGAGTCCAATTCCAAGGAGTTCAGCTCGGTCTGGCTGCTGCAGCTGCAGTGCAGACGCCGCTTCGACGAGCTGTTCATCGTGCTCAGACCCAGACTGGTCAGAGTTTGCGGGCTCAGTGGGATCGGCGAGGAAGCGGACGCGTTACCGGCGCGATTTCCCGGCGCGTTGCATCCGTCCGTAGTGCTGCCGAGTGAATTGCATCTCGCGCGTCCGGCGTTCGCCGCGTCCACCAGCTCCCGCTGCTCCTTCGTCGGCCGTGCGGTCGTGCGGGATATCGAGCCCAACATCGAGGTGGTCACAGCCTCGCCCACCGCGAATCTCACCGGCATCGGCGAGTTCGGGCACGTGGCGGGCGATCGATGGCCGCCCGACAGGTTGCCGTGCTCGCTCTGATTCGGGCTCTCCTCCTCGCTGTTGCTCGACGACGACGTCGGCTGGCTCGGTTCCGATCGCGATATCAGGGTGGTGCGTCTGGCGGTGCTCAGCGCCGGGAGGCTCCGGTGCCTGGGCGAGGCCGACGAGACCGGCAGGTTGCCGGTGCGCGGGATGTCGCTGTTCAGCCGTCGAATGCCGTTGGCCAGCGCCAGACAATTCACCAGACTGTCGTGGCAGGTGGCGACCGTCGTCGCGTGGCTGCTGTATCTGTTCCAAGCTAGCAACGGATTGAACGGCACGTCCTGCTTGACGTTCTGCGAGTTGCCCAGCAGGAGATCCTGCGCCTCGCTCGGCAGCATGAACCAGCGCAACGCCTCCATACGCGCGCAGACGAAGTTGAAGCTCTTGTCGATCTGCAGCGGATACCGCTGCGCCATTTTCCGCGCCCGGTTGAAGATGTTGCGCGCCGTCTGCAGGCAGTCGCCGTAATTCTGCGGGAAGACCCCGGAGCCGGAGGCGCGTCTCTCCGAGGCGTTCATCCTGCCGTCCGTGTACCTGATCGAGCCCAGCCACTTGCGCTCCTTGAAGACGCTGTTGGTGTGATGCCGCCATTCGCCGGTGTCCGGATTCAGCACGTACTGCGGCAACAGCTTCCAGCCCTCGGTGGCCACCATCTTGAGCGCCTCCAGGACGAAAGCCACCTCCGCCTCGCTCATGAAGTAAGGGAAGGACAGCCGGGCGAAGCCCGGCCTCAGGCCCTCCGCGGTGGTCTCCTCCGCGCCGGTGCGTTGTCTAAAATAAAACGGACGAGTGACAAGCGGGACACGACTTCGTCGAGGAGAGAGAGAGGTTGGCTCACGCCAAGTGCTCGCACCGGCGCATTGACGTAACGTCTATTTCGACGACGCGCGCGTGTCCATTACGCGAAATTACGCTGCACCGGAGCTTAACAAAGAAGCACTTCCTGCCTGGTCGACGGCCGTCGCGATCTCCGCGTAATCCCGCGCACGTGCGCGTGTGTAACACATGAAACGGGGATTTACGCGAGGCGGCTCGAACGAGAGCTCGTCGAGATGTGTGATTCTAATTCATTCGGATCTTTTACGGTCTCGGTTTTCAGGCAAGAATGTCGACGCGAGATACTATTCGCCGAGTTTGTGGAAGGAAAGAGAAGAATCAAACATAATTACCGGTTTTACAACCTCTTCAATCAAGTAATATTTTTATCAATTTAAATATACCTTATAGCTCGTGGCAAACGTGCACTTGGACGCAGTAATATCTCAATTTGTAAATGAATTATTAACTGTAAAGTGATTTTAAATTTAAGATTATCTACTAGAATTACGAAACGCTTCTTTTCCACTGAAGAAACCTGTGATATTTCAATTCAGGTTTTTTCTCCAGTATTGTCTAAAGAAAAACTCTGAATGATGTGAATTTAATACTTGCCGGAATTGCTTTAACACATAGAAAAATAACGTATAAATGTCTAATTATACGGAGAAAACATATTGCATACGGTCAATTACACATCTACTTCTAATAAATATTTTCCAAGGAGTATTAGAGTAACCATTTTATTTAAATCCCTTCCAAGTAAATATTGCTTGAACTAGGTAGCGCTTTTCTTCAGCGAAGTATGAGAAGTCGACCTTATTGAGAGTAGATTGTGAAAGAAATCGGAGTGGAAAATGAAGGAAGAGGAAGAAGAAACAATTTGGGAAAGCGCAACGGCTACCTACCCTTCCAAGAGGATGTTTTCGTACTCCTTGGCGAGCTCCCGGTCGATCCCCATAAGATCATGAGCGTAGCGACCGGTGCACGCGCATCCTCCTCGCGCCTGAATGCCGAAGACGTCGTTCAAGACGGCGCAGACGAAGTTGTGATGCAGGAAGGTGCCGCGGGGATGGCGCACCATGAACGAGAAGATGGGCAGCCGCTTCACGTTCTGCGACGAGCTGCCGAGCAAGATCAGCTCCGGGATTGTGCGCACGTGGGCCAAGACTTGCCTGTGGGAAAGAGCTCGCGGTTAGATCTCGCTAATATCCCACCGAGAGATCGGCCGGCGATCCTTTCGTCGTCGCTTACGTAACAAGCAGATACAGTTTTTACCCGCTCGATACCTGCCATTTGTAAACGAACTGGCTCAAAGATAGTTCCCTCCCCCCTCTATCACTCTCTCTCTCTCGCTCTCTTGAGGAAAATTATAAGTCACGCTGGTGAGAAAGAGAACATCGAAAGCGAGAGAGAGAGAGAGACCACAGCTTTCTATAAGCGCTCGCAAACAGGAAGACATTCGCGCGAGAAATGATTCGAAACGATCGCATTTGTTTCCTGGACGCTGACGAAGGAGGGGGGGGGGGGGGG